CGAGCGGGGCGGGCGCTGCCTCTTCTACAGCGAATGGCACCGGCGGCGCGGCCCCGGCATCCCCCAGGAGGAGGTGAAAATTCGGGAATTTCCGGAATTTTGGGAATTTCGGGAAATTTTGGGAATTTTTGGGGAATTTTTTGGGGGGTTTTAGGGGAGATTTGGGCTTTTTTTGGGCTTTTTTTGGGATTTATTTTGAATTTTTCAGGATTTTTGGAGGGATTTTTTTGAGGATTTTTTTTTGGAGATTTTTTTTTGGGGAATTTTTGGGAAAATTTTGGGATTTTTTTGAAAATTCGGGAAATTTCTGGGATTTTTGGGGGGGATTTTTTGGGAATTTTTGAAGTTATTTGGGGATTTTGAGCGGCGCCGGCGGCGCGACCCCGGCATCCCCCAGGAGGAGGTGAAAATTCGGGAATTTTGGGAATTTCCGGAATTTTGGGAATTTCAGGAAATTTTGGGAATTTTTCGGGGGGTTTTAGGGGAGATTTGGGCTTTTTTTGGGATTTATTTTGAATTTTTTGCAATTTTCTTTTAATTTTGGGGATTTCTTTTGAATTTTGGGGCATTTGGGGAAATTTTTGGGAATTTTGGGAAATGTTGGGGGATTTTTTGGGAATTTTTGATGGGTTTTTGGGCTTTTTTTTGGGATTTATTTTGAATTTTTTTCAAATTTTTAAAAATTTTTGGGGATTTTTTTTTGGTTTTTTTTTTAATTTTTGGGGAAATTTGGGAATTTTTCGGGAATTTCAGGAAGTTTTTGGGAATTTTGGGGGATTTGGGGATTTTTTTTAGATTTTTTTTTATTTTTTGCAATTTATTTCGGGTTTTTGGGGATTTTTTGGGTGTTTTTGGAACTCATTTTGAATTTGGGGATTTTTTTGGGAATTTTGGAAAATTCTGGGAATTTTGGGGATTTTTGGGGATTTATTTTGATTTTTTTTGGAATTTTTTTGCCATTTATTTCGAATTTTTTTCAGATTTTTTCTTGTTAATGTTTGGGAATTTTTAGATAATTTTTAGGGGTATTTTTGGGGGAATTTTTGGGAAATTTGAGAAATTTTTGGGGGTTTGAGGGGGATTTTTTGGGGAAATTTTGGGAATTTTGAGGTATATTTTTGGGAATTTTTGGCAAAATTTTGGCAAAATTTTGGGGGTTTGAGGGGGATTTTGGGGATTTTTTGGGGGAATTTTGGGGATTTTTTGGGGATTTTTTTAATTGGGGAATTTTGGGGGGTTTGAGGGGGATTTTTAGGGATTTTTGGGGGGAATTTTGGGAATTTTTTTTAAAATTGAGTAATTTTGGGCTATATTTTGGGATTTTGGGGGAAATTTGGGGATTTTTGGCAAAATTTTGGGAGCTTGAGGGGCATTTTTGGGATTTTTTTGGGGATTTTTGTGGATTTTTTTTAAATTGAGGAATTTTGGGAATTTTGGTCTTATTTGGGAATTTTTGGGAAATTTGGGAATTTTTGGGGATTTCTTTAAATTGGGTAAATTTGGGAATTTTGGGGGTTTTTCTGTGAATTTATTGGAAATTTGGGGATTTTTGGCAAAACTTTGGGGATTTGGGGTTTTGTCTTCGGGATTTTTTCGGAAAATTGGGAATTTCGTCGGGTTTGGGGGGATTTTTGGGCGTTTCGGGGAGTTTTTTGGGAACTTTTGGGGGGTTTTTGGGAATTTTGGGGTTTTTTGGGAATATTTTGGGGACTATTTTTGGGAAATTTCCCCGAAAATTCCCGAATTTTCCCGGATTTGGGCTTGCAGGAGTTCAAGCTGATGTTCGGGATGCTTTTCTCGCTCCGCTCCTTCGTGGCCAAGATGAGCCCCACGGACATGGATCCAAAATCCCCAAAATTCCCCAAAATCCCCCCAAAATCCCCCCAAAATGTCCACCAAAAATCCCCTCAAATGTCCCCAAAATTCCTAAAAATTTTCAAAAAAAATCCCCCAAAATTTCCCAAAATTCCCCCCAAAAATTCCCCCAAAATTCCCCCAAAAATTCCCAATAATTCCCTGAAATTTCCCCAGAATCCCCCAAAATTTTCCCCTCAAAATTCCCTAAAATTCCTCATAATTCCCAAAATTCCCCCAAAATCCCTAAAAATTCCCCCAAAATTTGCCAAAATTACAAAAAAATCCCAATTTCCCCAAAATTGCCAAAATTGCCAAAAAATCCCTAAAATACTCCCCAAATTCCACAAACTTTCCCCAAATTCCCCCAAATTCCCCAAAATTCCCAAAAAATTCCTGAAAAATTCCCCAAAATTCCCCAAAACTTCCCTATAATTCTAAAAATTGTCCAAAAATCCCTAAAATTCCCCAAAATTTCCCCAAATTGCCCAAAAATTCCCCCAAGAATTCCCCATAATTCCCAAAACTGCAAAGAAATCCCTAAAATTCCACAAAAATTCCCTAAATTTCCCCCAGAATCCTCCAAAATTAACCCCAAAATTCCCTATAATTCCCAAACTTTCCCCAAAATCCCTAAAACCCAATAAAAGTCCCCAAAATTCCCTCAAAATCCCCCAAAATTCCCTATAATCACCAAAATTTCCCAAAAATCCCTAAAATACAAAAAGTTCCCAAAAATTCCCCCAAAATTCCCCCAGACCCCTAAAACTCCTCAAAAATTCCCCAAAGTTCCCAAAATTCCCCCAAATTTTCCCCAAATTCCCTACATTAAAAAAAATCAGAAAAATTTCCCCAAAATTACCCTAAAACCCCTAAAATTCCCAAAAATTCCCCCAAAGTTCCCCAAAATTCCCCCCAAAATTTCCCCAGAATTCCCAAAATTCCCCAAAAGTCTTTAAAATTCCACAAAAATTCCCAAATTCCCTGAAATTTCCCCAGAATCCCCCAAAATTCCCCAAAAAATTCCCCAAAAATTCTCAGAATTCCCCAAAATTCCCCAGAATTTCCCCAAAATTCCCAAAAATCCCTCAAAATTCCGGGGGAATCCCAAAGAAAACGGGGGAGGGGCGGTGCCAGGGGAGGATTTGGGGGAAATTTGGGGGAAATTTGGG